AAATTCAACTACATCTGCATTATTAACTAACTACAAAAATACTAATTAAAGATATAGCGCAATATTTTCCCACCGCTATCTTCTCATATTTTATTTTTTACAGGATCCATACTAAGGATCCTTCTCATATTTTATTTTTTACAGGATCCTTATTAAGAAAGAAAAAGAAAAAAAAAATGGCGGAGGAGAGCGAGCTTTTGCTCTAAATTCGGGCCCACAACTTATGTGCCTCGCGAACTGCAATATGCTGAAAAAGCATCGTAAGATATATCTACGATGAAAAATTATCATATGATAGAATTAAAAACATCTTTATATAATAATCTTTATATAATAATACTACAAACCAATTTGCCTGCTGCTATTTTTATATAGCATTTTTAAAAACGGGCAAAATTTGAAATGAAAAGGAATTAATAACAAAATTAAAAAGTATTCACAAAATCTTAACTGACAATAAAATACCATCTTGCCGTGGATAATCATAAACACAGTCACAGCAGCAAATCATTTCAATATTTTGCATGTTCTACTGACTAAAATTTTGATAGTGTTTAATGCAGAAACAGAATCTTTCACCAAAAATTTACTTAATATTAAAAAAATAGAAACAAAATTTGGAATTGAAAAAAACGCAAATGTAAAATTTTTAATAAGTAAATTTTAAAAGATTCTTTTAAAATAAATCAACTTAATAAAATCTTACCTGAATATCAAACACCTCCAGACAATAACACTCTACTAAATTATTAGATTCATAAAAAATACGATTGAATATCTAACACTATTTAAAACCAATAATAATAAAAAACAACTTACTTATATTTAAAATAAGGTCAACATTAGCTTCTATAAAATTAACAGCCTGTCAAGATTCATCCCCTACTAAACAGACTGTTTCATTAAGTAAAGCATTAAAATCTTTAGCAACTTCAAAAACAAATTAACAAATACATACTACATATAAATAAAAGTATACTTAACAATTATATCATTTATATGATAATAGAATCTAAGATATCTCAAGAAATACAAAACTTACCGCTTGCAAATCTAAAATGCCTTGTGCATAACCAGTTAATAGCGGTCTGACTCTTTCAAAACTATAAACACATTATAATACTATTTCGATAGTTATCTGAATTGTCATTGTTGAGCACTTGGTTTAAAATGTTTAACGGGGGCAGATATGAAACTTTAAACTTTTTTATTATCTTAAGATTAGGTTATTTTAACTTTATATCATTTTTAAAAATAACCAAGTTGGAAAAAATGATTTATTTTAAATATAAAATAAATTTTTTACTCATATTCTTAATAGAAACAACTTATTTTATCCCCCTGACTGTGTTCAAAAAAAGTCTGTCGCGGAAAGCTTTAATTTTTAAAAAGCAAAACAAAACAATTTCATAGTTCTCTTTTTATTGTGTTCTATTTTTGAATTTTTAAAAAAACCAATAAAAAATTTAAAAAAAAAAGAGAAGGTTCTAACGATTGGACTCAAACCTCGATAGATATTTCAGAATGTCGTCCGCTCGGTCACACTGGCAAATATTCCTTTACTAAATACTTAGATACATATAAAACACGATTGAATATTTTACATAAAATTACATAAAACTAATTATAAAAAAAAAACTTACTTATATTCAAAATAAGGTCGTCTTTAGCTTGTATAAAATTAACAGCCAGTCAAGAATCAATACAACACCTATAAAACAGAATGTTTCATTAAGTAAAACATTAGAAATTTAAAGTTCCGTAATTTTAAAAACAGATGCAAAAATACATGCTATTTTTTTAGGTATATTCAATAATTATATCATTTATGACAACAATAATAGAAGATACAATGTCATTTCAAGAAATACAAAAATCTTACCGAGTAAACATTTGCAATGCCTCGTGCAGTTTGTTCAGATCAGTTTAAAGTGTTCAAGTTGACTCTTCCAATCACATACGGAGAATCATACTATTTTGATGGTTTTCTAAATTCTGTCATTGTTGCGCACTCGGTATAGAATATTTAACAGGGGCGTTGTGAATTAGCTGTAAAACTCTAAATATTTTTATTACCTAAATAACGATAGTTTTAACTTTTTTTTCATTTTAAAAAATAATAAATTTCATAAGATAATTTATCTTAAATTTAAAAATTTTAAATATTTTTTAATAAAAATACATTTTTAAAACCCCCTTACTATTTTAAATATTCAGATCGCCGCGTGGCAAGTTCAAATCATCAGCTTGCTTTTTTTGTTAAATGCACTTTATAGATTTTATATTCTATATATACACATGTTATATACTCATTTTCCTTGCGCGAACTCAACTTAGTTGGAGAAATGTAAATGTAAAACTAAAATAACATGACAATTAAGCGCAACAAATTTCTCCTGTTTTTTGATGTTTTTAGAACTTTTAAGCTTTCTTTAAAAATTCTCTTCCTTTCGTTTGTTTAAGTGTAAAATATTTTTACATTTGTTAAGTATATAATCTCTATACATAATCTTTATTTCGTACTTTAGAAAAATCGAAAATGAATTTAAAAAGAAAACATGCCATAGGTAGGATTCGAACCATGGCTCTTCAGGTCAGCTGCCAGCGAGCTGACCACTAAGCTATGCCACTATGAACGATTGAACAAATTTTAAAAATATATAGTAAATAAAAGTCTTTATAAAACGACCATCGATCAAAATTAAGATGTTGCCGCAATGCAGTTTTCAAGTGAAAGTAAAACTTAAAAACTTGATACATGTTTTAGTATGTTTTGACATTTCACATTTTGAAGTTTACGTAAGTTAGTTATTAGAACACACTTTCGTTAATGTTTTTTTATAAAAAGGTGCTGCGACTCTTCCTCGCCAGTACCTCGGTTGCAATGGCTGCGTTGGGTTTTGTGTCAAACGTGCTCGAAAGGGAACTACTACTATTGAGTTCCGTATTATTATATAAAGATAATATATGTTTCAGTTTTAATACACAGAACACCCAAAAAATACATAAGTATGCAAAACACATTACTTGACACTGATCCTGTGAAAGCAAAAAAAAAAAAAAAAAATTAAAAAAATAAATAAATTTTTTAACTGACATAATAAAACAGAAATGTATTATAATGGCACTTTGCTTAACATTTGATTTTTCTAATGTTTCTAAATAGAATAAAGAAATTTATTAACAATAACATAGAAACTAATTTGCAATGTATAGAAAAACTAAAAAACCTGAAAACTAAAAAGTATTTAATGTTTGTAAACAAACAGCAACAGAATAGAAAAAAAAATTATTCTAACCTTGATTGCGACGTATTAATTTTTTTTTTACACTATTAGGTAATGATCAACATAGTAAAGTTTAAATGACAAAAGTTTACTTTAAGTTAAAACCATATTTTATTGTAGATAAAGTAAATTTATGATTGTTGGTAGAGCACTAAAGTAAAACTAAAGAAAAAAATAAAATTCAACTAAATTAAAATGCAGTTAAACATGAAAAATAACTCTACCATCATGAGAAAAGGTAAAATTATAAAAACAAACAAACAAACAACAACAATAAAAGAATATTTCTTTTTATTAAAAATAAGAACCTCTTATTTAAAAAAATAACAGATAAAGACACATCAATGAACAAATAGACTTATCGATTAAAAACATACAGAGTGAAAAAGCAATTTTGAAGTTCTTTCACAAATTTATTGTAAGTACTTATTAGATACCCCCTAATTCAATGATTATTGTTGATTATTATAATAATTATTAACTGCAATTTAAAGTATTCACAAAATCTAAACTGAAAATAAAGTATTATTCTGACACGGAGAATCATAAACACGGCCACAGCAACAAATTATTTTAATATTTTGCATGTTCTGCTGACTAAAATAATGATGGTGTTTAGTGTAGAAACAGGATGTACATCTTTTCAACAACTTTAGATAAGAGTATTCTCTTCCTCTTTAATAAGGGGAAACCTTTTTTTCTTGTTCTGGGCCCACACTCTATGTACACTATAGGATGTGGGCTCTTATCTCAATTGATAAGGGCCCACATCCTTATTCTTATTGAAATTGCTAAACGATATTTTAATTTCATACTTAATTATAAAACCTAATTTTAATCTTGCAGAGATTGTTACAACTTAATTGGCTAAAATAAATATCGAAAAAGTAAATATAATTTAGAGCAATCAAATAATTAGTAAAATATCTCATAAAATAGAATAACACAATCACATTAGCAAAAAATAATGTTTTTCTTAATCAGTTTTAAAGATGAAGAAAAATTAGAAATTAAAACCTACAATATGTTATAACCTGTGGCACTAAAATTAAAATACCAAACAAAATATTGTTATTTAATTTTAATAAACTAACAATATTTTGTAACACTTAACACATACACACAATAACACTTTACTAAATACTTAGATTCATATAAAACACAATTGAATATTTTACATAAAATTATTCAAAACCAATAAAAAAAAACAAAAAAAAAACTTACTTATATTTAAAAAATGGTCGTCTTTAGCTTGTATAAAATTATCAGCCTGTCAAAAATCAATGCAACACCTATAAAACAGAATGTTTCATTATGTAAAACATTAGAAATTTAAAGTTCAGTAATTTTAAAAACAGATTAAAAAATACATACTATTTATATAAGTATATTCAATAATTATACTATTTATGACAACAATTTATGACAACAATAACTATATCATTTATGACAATAATAATAGAAGATAATATGTCATTTCAAGAAATACAAAAATCTTGTGTACACATTTTACAATGCCTCGTGCAGTTCAGTTCAGATCAGCTATAAGCGTTCGAGTTGACTCTTCCAATATTATACGGAGTATCATACTATTTTGATGGTTTTCTTAATTCTGTCATTGTTGCGCACTCGGTTAATAATATTTAACTGGGGCGTAGTAAAGTAGCTGTAAAACTCTAAATATTTTTTATTACTTTGATATCAGATAGTTTCAACTTTTTTTTCATTTTAAAAAATAATAAATTTAATAAAATAATTTATTTTAAATCTAAACTTAAATTTTTGAATTATTCTTTTAATAAAAATATACTTTTAAAACCCCCTTACTGTTTTAAAAAAATTTTAGGTCGCCGCGTGGCAAGTTCATCAGCTTGCTTTTTTTTTTTAAATGCACTTTATAGTTTTATAGATTTTATATTCTATATATACATGTTATATACCCATTTTTCTTGCATAATCTCAACTTAGTTGGAGAAAACTTAAAATGTAAAACTAAAATAACATGACAAATAAGCGCAACAAATTTCTCCTGTTTTTTGACGTTTTTAGAACTTTTAAGCTTTCTTTAAAAATTCTCTTCCTTTTGTTTGTTTAAGTGTAAAATACTTTTACATTTGTTAAGTATATAATCTCTATACATCTTCAAAAGTGATTAGTTTTGTATTTAAAAAAAAATCAAAAAAGATTAAAAAAAAGAGTTCCAGGCACGGGAGTTGAACCCTGGCTCCCCTGAGTAGTAGCTCAGCAAGCTGACCACGAAGCTACGCCGTCTTACCAATTAGAGACATTTTTAAAAATATATACTTAACGAAAAACTTTATAAAACAGCTATCGGTCAAAATTTAAGGAGATGTTGCCGCAATGCAGTTTTCAAGTGAAAGTAAAACTTAAAAACTTGATACATGTTTTAGTATGTTTTGACATTTCGCATTTTGAAGTTTACGTAAGTTAGTTATTAGCACACACTTTCGTTAATGTTTTCTTATAAAAAGGTGCTGCGACTCTTCCTCGCCAGTACCTCGGTTGCAATGGCTGCGTTGGGTATTATGTCAAACGTGCTCGAAAGGGTACTACTACTATTAAGTTCAGTATTATTATATAAAGATAAATCGACAATGAAAAAAAAAAAATTAAAATTTTTTAGAGTTATATAAATAGTAACAAATAATAGTAATAAGTATATCGTTTTGCAAAATGCTAAAAAGACATTGTAAAATGTTTAAAATTAAACAAAATTAAATTAAATGACACGAAAAAAGTAAAAAAGGTAAAATAACACTACAAACTAATTAACCTGTGGCTGATTAAACAATCAAAATCAGTACGAAAAAAAATTACATTATGTGTAACAGAAAAAAATTATTGTAATTAAAAAAATAAAAAAAATGTTTTTCGACCAGAAAACAAACTTGTTATTACATTATATGTAACAGAAAAAAATTATTATAATTAAAAAAACAAAAAAAATGTTTTTCGACCAGAAAATAAACTTATTATTACCTTGTTTGCAAACAACTAATTTCTATTCAAACTATTAGCTAATGATCAACATAGTAAACTTAAAATAATTAAAGCTTACTAAGTTAAAACCATATTTTAACAGTAGACAAAGTAAACATATAATAGTCTGTGGAGTACCAAAGTATAACTAAAGAAATAGAATTACAACTAAAATTTAAAATGTTTTTAATACATAACACTTGCAGTTAAAAACATAAAAAATAACTCTACCTCTAGATAATAAAAAATAAAATAACATCTAGAAAATAACTTTAACTCTAAGATAATGAAGGTAAAGTTGTTAATTTGAACAAAAAAAAAACAAAAAAACAAAAAAGGAATTTAATAAAGTGTTAATTTTTCCTATGTATGATCTTTTTAAAACAATAATTTCTCGAACACATAAGGATACATCAATAAAGAACATTTTCTTCACATATAGAGTTCATTAAGTTTTTTAAAGGTCATTAAAGTTCTTTATATTACAAGTACTAAGTAGAAGACATATGAATACCTGCGATAACCAGTGATTATGAAATTAATAGTACTTAAAAAATTTTTAATGACAAAATATTTTGACATGGAGAATCATCAACACTGTCACAGCAGTTCTTAAATTGTTGTAATATTTTGCATGTTCTGCTGATTTAAACTTTGATGGAGTATCAAATATAATTATAAAACATAAAGATTGATTTGATGTACAACTTTCAACAAATTCTTTTGTAAAGAAATCTAAATTTTTAGCTAAATTATTATTGTAAGAAAAAAAAACTGGTAATTTTGAAAGAATATTTAAAGATTTTCAAGGTATTTTTGATAGAATTTACTTACTAACTAAACTTAAAAAAACAGATCAATAAAAAAAGAAATATAAAACTAAATACATTTAAATACCTCTTTTATTTGTAGATGTAGTTATATATTTTCCACCGTACAATCTTACTTCTCAAACTGTACTTTTAATAAAGGTAATTCCATCCATTTGATAAATAGAGGAGAAATTTTATTGCCTATTCGAGATATAGAAGACTTTATTTAAAGCTTTACTATTGTGCCCCTTTACTTTGAAATCTATGTCATTTGAGAGAAAAATACAAACTGCAGTCTCACAACAGTTTGGAAAATCAAACACATTTTTTAAATAACTTTATTTAAACATTTTATTTAAACAACAAAAGTTAATGTATAACTTTATTTCATGAAAATAAATACAAACTTTAAAACTTAAGATAAAGATATATTCGAATTTAAAACTTAAAATATGATGCTATGCTATGGCACTAAAATTAAAATAACAACCAAATAAATACTGCTATTTACTATTTAAAAAAATATGAACTAAATAAAGAAAGATTTTTAAAAGTAAATTTATCTAATTAAAATCTAATCTGAATATCACCATCAGATAATAACACTGTACTAAATAATTAGATTCATGTAAAACATGATTGAGTATTAAACAAAAAAAAACAATAAAAAATGAAAAACAACTTTTTGTATCTAAACTAAGGTAATCTTCAGCTTCTATAAAATTAACAGCTTGTCGAGAAACAATATCAATACAGAACTAAACAGAATGTGTTTCATTAACTAAAACATTAAAAAGGTCAAACTTTAGTAACTATAATAAGACATTGAACAATTACAAAATACAATTATAAATAAAGTTTATAAATGAGAATATATTCAATAATTATAATTTTTACGATAATGATTAAAGAGATATTCAAAGGGATTTAGAGATTTATGAAAGTTAAAAAAAGGAATTTAAATACTTATCCTGCGCGCATCTACAGTGCATTGTGCGTCAAATGTTCAAAGTTATTGATGCGCTCTTGGTTTAGAATGTTTAACAGGGGCGTTGTTAAATAACTGTAAATGCTAAAGTTTCTTATTATGTTAAAATTAAATAGTTTTAACTTTTAATTATTTTTAAAAACAAAAAATTTTACAAAATAATTTAGTTTAAATATATTATTAAATTTTTTAATTATGTTTTTAAAAAAACGTACTTTTTAAACCCCCTTACCGTTTTAAAAAAGTTAAGGTCGCCGCGTGGCAAGTTCCTCAGCTTGTTTAAAATGCAAATCAAAAAACTTTATAGTTCTGTAGATTTTACATCTATATGTAAACATGTTGTTTACTAATTTTCCTTGCACGAACTCAACGTAGTTGTAATTAAACTTGAAATATTAAACTAAAGTAACATAAGTATCTCAATAATAACACTTACGCAAAAAAGTTAAAAAAGTCGCCCGTGATAAGTCTTGATCCACGGCTTTCTTGTTCATATAAGTTTTACGTTTGCTCACGTTTTCTTATAAATCAAAGGTGAGACTCTTTCTTGCCAATACGTCGGTTGTAATGGCTGTCAAGTGTTTTGTGTCAAATACGCTCCAAGGAACACTGCTATTAAAACTAAAACTATTAAGTTCGGCAATAATATAAATATATATATATATATAAATATATATATATATATATATATATATATATATATATATATATATATATATATATATATATATCCTTATAGTGTAGTCGAAAGAGTCTTTTAATGTAAAAAAAATCTCTTTCGACTTCAATTTTAATTACCTCGTCTCTTAAGCTGTATTTGATTGTCGTCGAAATGTCAAAGCAATTAAATTAACGGGGAAGTACTGTTTTTGTTTTATTACAAAACATTTTTAAAACATGCGTAAATGTTGCTACATCGACTATCGACTATCGACTATCGACATCGAATATCGACTATCGACTATCGACTACATCAACTATAGCCTGCTGCTACAAGGGAGCGTTTCTACATCGACTATCGTTTAGCCGACTATCTTATATATATATATATATATATATATATATATATATATATGTATATATATATATATATATATATATATATATATATATATATATATATATATACACATGTATATATATATATATATATATATATATATATATATATATATATATATATATATATATATATATATATACACATATATATATATATATATATATATATATATATATATATATATATATATATATATATATATATATATATATATATATATACATATATATATATATACATATATATATATATATATATATATATTATTATTATTATAGTTGTAGCCGTAAATTTACATAGAATGTACACATACAGCGAGCAGGGGAAACACCCCACTATAAACAACCAGTTTTATAAATATTTGTTCCAAACTTTTTCCACAACCAGGAGTCTAGTCTATTTTTGAAAGAAAGTACAGAGGAGTACAAAGTTATTTGCTCTGGTAGATTGTTCCAGTATTTTGCTGATCTATTATACAAATAATTATATCTTGGAAGACAGTTTAGAACATACTCACGCCTTATTTTAGAATGGTGACCACGAGACACGGAGTTAATATATTTTGGTAGATATTTATCATTAACTATATCAAAACGATGTATTAATTTAAAAATTTGGATTAAATCGCATCGAAGGCGTCGAAACTCAAGTGATGGTAGGTTTAATCTTTTTAGCCTTTCGCAGTATTGAAGATGCCTCAAGCTGTAAGCCCATTTTGTAGCTTTGCGTTGAACAGATTCAACCAAAGCCATAAAGCCATATATATATATATATATATATATATATATATATATATATATATATATATATATATATATATATATATATATATATATATATATATATATAT